CTCGGAGTGGGGAGCCAAAATGGCGGGACTGTTGTCATTCTCATCCAGGATAAACACATTGACGGTCACGTTACTGCTGAGCGGAGGAACACCAGAGTCTGTGGCCTGAACTTTGAACTGAAAAGTTTTTAATTTCTCGTAATCAAAAGATTGCAAACTGACAATGTCTCCACTCTCTTGGTTGATGTTAATAAGTGCTGAAATTAGAATATTCCTTGGATAACTATCTAACAATGTGTATGACACTTTTGCATTAACATCCAAATCAGGATCAATTTACCACGAAAGCCAGGATAGGCGCCAGCTCAGGCACCAGCTCCGGTCAGCTCCGAACCACACAAGCAGTATACCGAATGGATGGATGGATAATCAATCTGATCATCAATGTGAGGCACCCACAAAAGCGCATCGACATCAAGTCCAGCACCACGGACAGCGGCATTTGGACTTGCTTTTGTCACCACTACTATATATGGACAATGAGTGGATATGTGATGTCAAAAATGGAAGTTCAGCATGCAGACATGACCATAGACAGCCAGTAGGGAACACACAAGGCCTTCATCTTAAAGTGCACAACCTCGACTGATAGCAGCACCTCACAAAAAAATGGTGTGTTCAATTTACTTAATCTCATTTCATCAAGTGGTTCCTTGAAATAAAATCATCTGGATCCAGATAGATTTTTTTAAGTAAACTGCATACATCCACTGAAAACTCTGTCTAAATTGTAGACTACTCACTGTCTTTGCAACCTTTACATCTACTTTTGGAATGTACTGTGTCTGGATCTAAATTATTCTTTTTCGAGCAACCAATTGACACAATAAAATTGAGTAAATTCATCACACCATCTTTTTCAATGTACAGTGCAGAATAAAGTGCAAACTACATCAGAAAACATACTGATCACTCCATGTATGAGTGATTTTCATTATTTGCACATTGTGTGATTTCCATTCAAACAATTATTCACTTATAGTTCTTACAGACACGTTTGAGTTTCACCTGCAAGATATAGTCACGCATTAAGGTTAACATGAAAAAATTGTATGTGTATAATTGTTTCGGCTACACATTGCTTTCTATTGAAAGCCCATGCACTGGCAAACTAAAGAACAAAACAAATTGTCAGCCTACCTTCTCAGAGGTGGGCAAAGTTTGAGTCCTGGTAAAGGTGTCGCCTCCATTAATACTGATCAGTTCTGCTTCTACAGGCGGAAAGGGCCCAGGGAAAACCACTACATCGCTCTTGAGTGTGTCTGAGCTGAAGCACACATCGTACTGCTGAGTTGCTTTGGAGTAAGACCAGCTCCCATCAGGGTGGGTGGTGATCATCGGGGCACTGTATCTATCGAAGGGTCCGTCTGTCTGTCTGTGGCATTTAAAGGCTACTAAAGTGATAAGGCTGAGCAGAAAGATAAGCGACACGGCCACAACGGCGATGAGCAGATACAAGTGCAAGGC